ATCCTCGGTTTGTTGTTTTGCGCGTGGTTCTCGTCGTTGGACCGAGGCGTCTTTATATGCAGATTCGTACGAACATCAGAGTGAGAGAAAGAGAGAGAGAGAGAGAGAGAGGAGCAATCGATAAAATACACGAGAGACGCCATCGAAGTGTGTCCGTTCGATTGAAACGAATAGGCATACGTTGTGCCGTTCGAAGACGTCATTTTTCACGTTTCGGTCATTTGAGTTGCTCGACCACCGTTATTTTCCTTGACAATGGAGTTCAGTGATTAGAACTCGCATTGTGTATGCTTCCTTTTGTGGCAACGTATATGTATGCGCTTCTGTATCCGCGTAGCGAGCAATGGAGAAACACAAAAGATTCAGAAGATTACGAAAGGTAATGTATTATATCGCATTGATGAAAATGATGTCCGTGAATCTGTGTCTTCCATTATGATGAGGCTGATCGTTGTCGACGATCGTTGTCGTACCAAACCGTGCGACGCGAACGATTTATATTAACACATTTATTTATCGAACGACGCAGAATATTCTATGGGAAATAATCTGTTCGACTCGAATCGATAAAACCGAGCTTGAAATCGCTGATCGAAATTATTTTTCTACTTGACGTCTCGTTCGTTTCTCTCTTTGTCGAATGGAAATAAACTGAGGTCAAAGGGGGGAGCTTCGAATTATTTTGCAATCGATACAATAATCGCAGCTTTAAAATAATTTCTCGATCGATGTAATAATCCCCGTCGCAGCTTCGAATAATTTTTAAATCGATATAATAAATCTCTGTGACTGTCTTAAAATAATTTCTCGATCGATGTAATAACCTCGATCGGAGCTTCAAATAATTTCTTGATCGACATAATAATCTCCATCGGAGCTTCGAATCATTTTTAAATCGATACAATAAACTTCGTCACAGCTTTAAAATATTTTTTCTATCGATACAATAATTTCCATCGATATAATAATCAGCGTCACAGCTTCAAATAATTTTTAAATCGATATCATAATCTTCGTCACAGCTTTAAAATAATTTTTCTATCGATACAATAATTTCCATCGCAGCTGTAAAATAATTTCTCGATCGATATAATAACAATCACTGTCACAGCTTCGAATAATTTTTAAATCGATGCAATAATCTCCGTCATAGCTTTAAAATAATTTTTCAATCGATATAGTAATCTCTGTCGCAGCTGTAAAATAATTTCTCGATCGATATAATAACAATCACTGTCACAGCTTCGAATAATTTTTAAATCGATGCAATAATCTCCGTCATAGCTTTAAAATAATTTTTCAATCGATATAGTAATCTCTGTCGCAGCTGTAAAATAATTTCTCGATCGATATAATAACAATCACTGTCACAGCTTCGAATAATTTTTAAATCGATGCAATAATCTCCGTCATAGCTTTAAAATAATTTTTCAATCGATATAGTAATCTCTGTCGCAGCTGTAAAATAATTTCTCGATCGATATAATAATCTCCCTCAGAGCTTCGAATAATTTTTAAATCGATACAATAATCTTCGTCACAGCTTTAAAATAATTTTTCTATCGATGCAATAATTTCTGTCGCAACTGTAAAATAATTTCTCGATCGATGTAATAATAATCACTGTCACAGCTTCGAATAATTTTTAAATCGATGCAATAATCTCCGTCACAGCTTTAAAATAGTTTTTCAATCGATATAGTAATCTCTGTCGCAGCTGTAAAATAATGTCTCGATCTCTATTATAATAATCTCAGTCGGAGCGTCAAATAATTTTTCGATCGATATAATAATCTCCATTGTTGTCGTGGTACGAGTCAAAACGCAGAATATAACAACGAACGACGTGTAAAGCACAGCGACACGAGCTCCCTAAAATCGTGGAGTCACGGTTATTCTCCTGCCGATCGTGGCCCGCGCCAATGAAACGGGATATCGATCGATTACGTAAGTGATTTTCCCAGCGTTTCGAAATTAGCTATCAATTTTGAAAGCATCATTGCGCCCCCCATCAGATGCCAAAAGTTCCGTAAGGGCATCATGATGTCGTCAGTGCTTCGAACAAATTTTACCGCACATACACCGCCGTATCTCTCGACGTTGGACTTTTCCAATCCGAAATTTGGCAGCGGAACGCGGCATGCTTGAATTGGGTGGCTCGCCGACCTTCGGCATCATAAATATCAATCGCGCGTATGTTTCTTACTCGGCTATGCGAATCAAAAATATATTCCTTTTTTAATTCCAACTTCGGGAAGTCTCGGAACTCGGGCGGTTGCTTTTAGTTTTTTTTTATGCAATTATCCCTCGATATTGTAGACGGTTTTTGATCATGATCGACGTACGGTAAATTAACCCTGATTTTTCTTTCAACTTATAAACAAAAATGAACGATTTGAGGAGAGGAAACTCGAATTATATCAAGAATTATAAAAATTCTCTTCCCAAATTGTCCATTTTTGTTCATATAAATTATAAAAATCCTCTTGCCAAATTGTCCATTTTTGTTCATATAAATTGTAAAAACCCTCTTCCCAAATTGTCCACTTTTGTTCATATAAATTATAAAAATCCTCTTCCTAAATTGTCCACTTTTGTTCATATAAATTATAAAAATCCTCTTGTCAAATTATTCACTTTTGTTCATATAAATTATAAAAATCCTCTTGCCAAATTATCCACTTTTGTTCATATAAATTATAAAAATCCTCTCGCCAAATTGTCCACTTTTGTTCACATAAATTATAAAAATCCTCTCGCCAAATCGTCCATTTTTGTTTACAAACCGAAGGAAAATTTACGGAAGTTCTAGTGTTAAATTGCAGTGTTAATTGCATTTATGCATTAATCCTTCAAGCCGCTAATTAAATCGGCGAAATTTCAATTATTTTCAATCTAACATATTAAAACTCGCACAAAACGAAAAACTTTCGATAACATTCGAATTGCGAACATATACGCTAATTAAACACGAAATATTTGTAACACGCACTCTTATTATATTTTACATTCTTCTTGTACGTCGTTTTTACGCACACATGGCAAACCAATATGGCGTCGCCGATGTTCGCGTTTACGTCGAACCGACTTCAAAAAGGTTCGCGATAAAAATGGCGCTCGGCTCAATGGAACGATCAAAGATAGAAAGAAACTTCGATCTGCTGTTTGCGATTCACGCAGAAAATTCTGATTTAACGATCCGCGGTCCGGCGATCGTAAGGATCTCCCGTCGTCTCGATCTCATTTTGCGAACGTACCGTTCGAACGCGACCCCGTTCGCGGCGCCGCGAGCGTACGGGGTACGCGTCGATTCGATCGAACAGCCTTAAAAGTTCCGGTCCGTTAGGAGAGTCCGGTGATTGTAGGTAGGAAGAATTAATTTCTCCGCGACTCGTCCGTATACGGGCTAACTTTTTTTATTGGTCAACTTAACTTCCGTTTCACTTGTTCCGTTTCCGCGACGGCGGCGGCGATCCACGGGCTCCGTCCGTGCTCTTCAACTACGGTCGCGGGGTTCACCTCCCGGGATTTCTCGTCACGGCGACATCCCGAGGAGATATTACACGTGACGTATATCATCGCGACATTTCAACAACAGCGCGGGAGAAGAGCCTTGGGGGGACAGGGGCCGGGGGATCGAGAGATCGACGCGGGCCACGCCACTTCCGCGCGAACAAACTTTTGAAATTAATAAGTTTCTGAAGAACCGTGCGTCTTACTTAAGTGTACATTTCACAGGTGAGCGATCCGCTGGAATAATTGCTGAACTTTTTAAGATGTTTGCCCCCTGGCCCCTCCTGACCCGCCCCTGCGCGCTCCTTCTCCTCCTGCTCCTGTCCCTCCGCCGCCGAGAACCACGGCGAAATTATTTACTTTAGAATTTACATTAGAAAAGTTTCGGTTTTATTATCGTCCGCCAAACTGCAATATTCCGGCGAACGTTCTGCTTTTTTTCATTCATAGTGATCCCGGGTATTTCGGATTTTTGTAAATCTCCTTTTAAAAACTCGCCCCCGCGGTTTTCTCCCGGCAGGAAAATTCGCGGGACCGACTTCTCTCCGGCCTTTCGCCGTCGAGATTCATTTGATTCGCAGGCGAAAATTTTCAACGCGGCGAATTTATAACTCCGAACTCTGTTCAAGTGGTTCATTTAGGGAAGTACAGTAAATTCTCCCGAGTTTTCTCCTTCGGCTTGTAAACAAAAATGGCCGATTTCGGACGTGCTAGTACGATTTATCGCGGCTCCTTTTTATAGTTGCCGATCGTCAACGATTATAAAAACGAGGTGCGAAGTTCGAATAATCCTATTATTATTATATAATTATTATAAATCGTATTATTATTATTATTATAATATAATATAATATATAATATTAATAGACTCGTCATTATATATAATACTATATTATATAATATATTATATTATATTATTATTATATTATTATTATATTATTATTATATTATTATATTATATTATATTATATAATATATAATTATAATAATTATATAGTATAATGTAATATAATAATCGAATTATTAGGAAGAATTTACTGTGCCCATACACGTTGTCCCAATGACAACTCTCTTCCGAAATATTCTACTTTTGTTCACGTAAATTATAAAAAAAAACCTCTTCCCAAATTGTCCATTTTTGTTCACAAGCTGACGGAAAAATTAGGGGAATTTACTGTGATAATGTCGAGCGATTTCGAAGTCGATAAGCTTTTATTTTCCGTTCGCTAGATGATTGATTTCTATGCGATAATTGGACAGTGTATTTTATGCATTTGTAACAAAAATGGGAGGAACATGGAACAGTGAATCGATCGAAGGAATTTAAAAACGTCGACGCATCATTAGAAACTTGTCGCGATTGTCGAAGAAACTTTCAATTAGTTACCGCTTTTTACAGTTTTACAATTTTGCCTGCTTTTCTTTTGCAGGGCAATTTTTACTTTTCACGAAGATCCGCAGTCTGGTAATAACGTTTGAAGGCTTACCTGATGAAAGCATAACCCTTGTCTTTAAATACACGTATCTCCTGGATGGATCCAAAAGGTGAGAAGGTCTTTTGCATCAGTTCTTCTGTTAGACCATTGGTTAGCCCACCGCAGTACACTGTGCAATTTGTTGGACTACTTTGATTGTACACCTCGTCGAAAGTCAGTGGCTTTGCATTCGCTGCAAACAGAAAATAGATGGAATTAGCGACACACCATTTTACCACATTCTTTTTGTTAAGTTGGTTATGTGCATACAGGATATCCCAAAAATGTCTCGCAATCCGGAAATGGCGGGTTCCTCGGATCATTTGAAGCAGCTTCTTCCTTTACAAAAATGTTCTCCGAGGCACCGTTAACGAGTTATTAACGAAAAACAGCGACCAATAAGAATCGAGTACGGCTGACGCGAGGCGGTCCAGCCAACCAGCGCGCGAAGCCCAGTTCCGCTCATTGGCTCGGTCGCCTCGCGCCAGCCGAGCTCGCCTCTCATTGGTCACTGTCTTTCGTTAATAACTCGTTAACGGTGCCTCGGGGAAAATTTTTGCAAACGAAAAAGTTGCTTCAAACGACCCGAGGAACCCGTCACTTTAGGATTGCCAGTCATTTTTGGGACACCCCGTATATATCTGTAATAGAATAATCGATGTCCTCGATGAAATATTTTTGGATCTACTTCTGTCGAATCTTTATAGAGTTTCGTGTCGTCGAGTTAGTCGAGCGTTCTCACATTTTGCAAATTCGACACAACGTTTGTCAGCATAAAATTAACCGTGGCTTAATTTTCGGCGAAAGCAGATTAGAAAGTTCTCGTGAAAACTTCATCGGCCAACTCAAAAATAACATACCGAACGCGTGTGTACGAAAGTTCCCGGCAAAATTATATTCGATCTATTTGCACACCTTGTAATTTCAAGCGAAGTTTGGATAACTACGAAGTTCCGCGGTGTGCAACTTTGTCTATGCGGAGTTCAATTGTAAAATTTCGAACGTTTCACGTGTGATGCTACGAGCGCGCTATTCGGGCCAGGCCTTCAAAATTCTTCCGAGTTTCGTTCACGATCCCCCATAAGCTATCATGTAACAGGATGCGAAACTAACAACTTGGCGGTTTCGGTGAACCGATCAGAATCGGCGAACCGCTTTATTTTAACAGTGCAAACCTCTTGCTTCGGTCATTGATAACCTAAGCGCGGCGCGTGCATAACTATTTCACTTCGCTGCCTGATTCATTGACGGTGCACGAACAGCTGCGATACCTCGGCAAAGCGGTAAATCCAATTAATATTCATCGAAAGATTAATACAAATTCCACGCTTCGTACGTCCCGGAGATTCGTTCATAATTGTAAAATGATTCTAATACGCCCGCGCTGTTCTCCGAAATGTCACATTGGAAAGCACGGGGTCGTTCTTTAATTGCAATTAGGACGATAATTAGTTCGCGAAATTTTGGTGAATATCATGTCTCAACGGTTTGTTATAGTTTGTTATGTCGACTACGAAACGTTCGCTAATTTACTAACATTCTAAACTGACTGATTTGTAGGAAAATTGACTGTTTATTAATTGTATTAAAATTGACCGATCGTCAATTCTAGTAAAATTGACTGGCTGTTAATTTAAGTAAAATTGACTGACTATTAATTCTAGTAAAATTGACTGACTCTTAATTGAAGTAAAATTAACTGACTGTCAATTGAAGTAAAATTGACTGCTAATTCTAGTAAAATTGACTGACTGTTAATTCTAGTAAAATTGACTGGTTGTTAATTCAAGTAAAACTGACTGATTGCAAATTCTAGTAAAATTAACTGGCTGTTAATTCAAGAAAATTGACTGACTGTTAATTGCAGTAAAATTGAAGTAAATTGACTAATTGATTAATTGAAGTAAAATTGACTGGCTGTTAATCGTAGTCAAATCGATTGCCAACGCATTCGACATTTATTCCATCCTTTCAATTACGCTTTTCGCTCTTCGTTTGCACTATCGAAATCCGCTAAAATAATCGATGCATCGATGCTCAACGATTTCAGTTTCTTCGGTTGCAGACGAACACAGCGAAGAATGGAATGTTCTACAAACGTTTCAATTACCAAACGACACTATAGGATACTCTATTATTTACAAACAACGAACTGTGTCGGCAAGTCTAACGAATACTGTGTATTTTGAATAAAACGTGACAAATAATACGTATTATATATCCAATTTCAACGACTATTCAAACGAAAATCTCCGCATGCATTGATTACTGTAGCGATCAAATTTCACTGAGAAATTCGATACTTATTTACTTGATCAAAATACTAAAACCAAGTGCTACCAAAACCAGGTATACATGCAGTACAATCTACCCAGTTTATTCTATCGTCGAACATTATCCAACTCCGAGCATTTCATCCTGTACGAAGTTATGTCGATACGAAATTCTATCAGGATCCAAAAATACGAAAGTAATTATCCGAAAATTCTAACCGCAACGGAAACAGAACGTGAACTGATACATTTAACACCAGGTTTACGTCAAAACGACGCGTACCAAATCATTTAGTTTACAATAATCGAGAATTTATTCAACGAAGTTTCGTCGGTCAATATATTGGCCATTGGCCATAATATTTGGCCGATATTGCTCAAAATCAGAGTAAATATTCTTCTTTTCATGGAGTATATACGGAATAAATCATAATTTGTCATTTATTTTTATACACTTTACGAATTAAATATTGTTATTTCTCTTTTACATATTCTCTAGAATAAATACAGTTATTCCTTTTTATCGAACAAATATTATTTCGATCTCGCACCATTCCGTAAACATAGTGTTAAAACAGCTCACACAAAAATCACGCGGATCAATTCGCCGCGAGAGAACAATTCGCGAAAGAAACCTGTCCCAAACCAGTAACGCTAGTCGCCGGCAATTCGCAATAGATGTACAGCGACAGCCTACGAGAAACAGCCGCGGACATCCGGAACAAAAGCGACGGGGAACAGTCGAACGAGCCGAAGAACTAAGAGCGAGACGATAATCTCGGGAGCCTTTAAATTCATATTGGAATTCGCGGGCGAGGTAGGCAGCGTCGAAGACGTACGAAATTTTAAATAAAAACACAGGATGTCCCAAAAATGTCTCACAATCCGGAAATGGCGGGTTCCTCGGATCATTCGAAGCAACTTCTTCCTTTACAAAAATGTTTTCCGACGCACCGTTAACGAGTTATCAACGAAAAACAGCGACCAATAAGATTCGAGTACGGCTGACGCGAGGCGGCACAGCCAACCAGCGCGCGAAGCCCAGTTCCGCTCATTGGCTCGGTCGCTTCGCGCCAGCCGCGCTCGCCTCTCATTGGTCACTGTTTTTCGTTGATAACTCGTTAATGGTGCCTCGGAGAAAATGTTTGCAAAGGAAAAAGTTGCTTCAAACGACCCGAGGAACCCGCCACTTTCGGATTGCGAGACATTTTTGGGACGCCCTGTATACTAGGCGTTCCCATCTCGGGGCTCTCTATTCGCCGGGAAATTAGTATTCAGGGTTTAGCCGTGTAGCGAGACGGGGTTTCGCTCGGCGTCGGTGGCTCTGCCGAAAAAGATCGAGCTGCAGCAGCAACAGCAGCAGCAGCAGCAGCGTTAGCAGCAGTATCAGCAGCAGCAGAAGTAGCAGAAGTAGCAGCAGCAGCAGCCGCTGCAGCCCTGGGGTACAGCGAGTGTGTATGGGAAACGCATTTTGCGCAAGTATATTTAGCCGTTTTAAAGCGATAGATTTCCTCGCCACGTTCTCCGTCTCTACGGTTCCCCGTCTTAACTTCGCCGATACCGGGAAAGGGGTCAGGTTTGACGACGCGGAACTCGGGCGCAGCAAGCTAGCTGTTCGAGATATCGAACGGCAATGCCAAAGAGGTTGAACCCCGTCAGCCAAGTTTACGATCGTACGGGGGCTTAGCCTATACTAAGGTAGCGGAGCTACGGGTGTAAACGCGACCGGTAAACCACGGCCTGTAATTGCCTCGTTCGAGGATAGAAGGTTCTCAGGACGTCGGGAACGTCCCGTTAAGAACTTACCGGGGGGACGTTCTCTTCGTTTCTGATAGCTCGGCATTATCTCTTTATTGCCCTCCGAACGTTATTCTTAGTATTCTCGGAATGTCGTTTCGCCCGTGCGTTATCGGTTCGCTTTAAAAAATTTTCTTCCCGCTAAAACGCTTACGTAGCTACTATAATATTGATTTTTCTCTCGTGTTCAGGAAATTATTGTTTTCTTTTTACGAGCGAACACCCCCGCCGCCGATCCCCGTCCCGACGGCCGCCGTCCCCGACCGGCCCCGCTCTCGTCCCTTCCGCCCTCCCTACGTATCTACCTAGCTAGCTAGCTAGCTAGCTACCGGCCTCACCTGCTTGCCGCGATCGATTCGAGTGAACAGCGAATGTCAAAACGTCCCTCGAATTCACGGACATCGAAAGATTAACGGATTAACACACCCTTTCGCGGACCTCCGGACGCTCCGTTTTAAAGGTCGCGAAATCTAAACCGCGCCCCGTTCTCGAAAATTCGACCGTCTTTCGCTGTCGCGTGCTGCAAATTTTTATAATTCGTTCGTTTAAACAATTTCGTTCGGCGCGAAAAGTCAGCCATCTTGCGGATCAGGAGTATTTCAGGTTTACATATCGTCGAGTTATTTTCTTTTTATGCGAAGAGAAATCGCGTATCGAAGATTTTCGTGACGAATATACAGAACGATATTTATAATTTATGATAAAAATTCATTAGCATATTTTCGCGTCGTAATCGTCGCGTCTGTTCTGTTACGAAGTTATCCGCCAGGTTTTTACGATCTTATCGATCTTTGCCGCGTACGTATATGGCGACATTTGGAGACGTTAACGGTTAAATGGGTTTTTTTCTAGGCACTTTTTCATCTCGACACGGTAAATCCGAAGTTTAAAATCTCTTGTTAGAATCACTTATTGTCTGGTACTCGGTGTTGCAGTTATTATGCAAGCAATCGAATCTATCGATTTTCTAGGAATTTTGAAATATATAATGAAAATTTCGCGTTTACCATTTTCGCGATGAAACTACCGACTTCTTCGTGGATCCCATTAAAATTCCGAATTCGCAGACGTACCTGGTTATTTAAATAGCGTCGGGTTCAAAGTGTTAAGCGGCGTATGAAAG